CGTTCCCAGATGTGCACAGCGCCAGGGGCTGCAATATTCCCCGTGCCCAGGAAGGGGAATCGCAGCATCTCCCAAACCTCACCAGGCTGACCCCAAAATGAGGAGAGCGTTGACTGCAGGAGCCGAACGTTTCAACTCTTGGTGCTGTTTCAATCCAGGCTTTCAGTGCAGCGCAACCTGTAATTTCCACACACTTGGCCTGAGAGTTTTGCTATACGGTTTTTAGGTTATGGCAGAATCTCCATTGCTGATACAGGGAACTGCAATGAATATAGATGATTCCATCACTGAATATCATGCAAAACACCAGTGCTGTGGGTTTTTCAAGTAACATTTTTTCTTTTTTTTTTCTTTTTTTTTTTTTTACAAATAATATTGGCTGAAAAAACTTCCAGGAAAATGCAATGCTCTCAAAGGAGCTGGATTCATGGGTCAGTAGAGTCCTTGCACTCCCCTGAGCATCTACTGCTGCAAGGCAACATAAGCCCAGTTTTGTTGCTGCGCCCTGCTCATGTTCGGTGGTGAGTTGGAGGATGCTGATCCCTAACAGCATCTAACAGCATCTCTAACCAGTCTCTAACAGCCCCTTCTCCGTCTCAGCTCAGCCAAGCCCCTGCCATTCAGGAGGGAGCATCTAAACACGTCCCCTCGTTATTGGGGGAAGCCCTGCCTCCCCTCTGCCCAGAAACACAACCTCCTTCCAGGAGGGGCACTGTGGCTGTTGGTGGGGAGCAACGGCCGCCGCCAGACGACCGCCCGCCGCCAGCCCGGGCAGCGATTTGGGCTCGTGACCGCGGGACGAGAGCTGGAGCGAGTTGTCGGGGCTCCCTGTCCTGCAGCCTTCCTGCAGGTTTCCTAAATCCCGCTTCTCATCAGATTTCTTCATTAAACGTAGATTAGATCAGACGATGTTTCTTTCACTACGAAGTAATTCGGCTTTCCATTTAGTGGGCCCATCTGATAAATAATGGCTTGAAATAATGTAATTCCACCCGCCCGTGATCACACCGAGTCTGTGCTGGACTCCTGCTCCCTCCTTAGCCCTGCTTGGCAGATCTCAGGGTACAATCTGAGTCCCCGCTGTAGGAGGAGAGCCCTGCCTGGAGGCACGGAGACCAAAGCCACCAGATTTTCTTCAGTGTACTGACATACAGGCCAAGTGATGAAGGCAGAGGAGGGGGCCAAGCGTGGGTCACCCAGCTCTCCATCCACCTCTGCGCTTGAGCCCCATCCATCTCCGTCCTGGACAGCCCCCAACGTGCAGGCTCTCCACTGGCACTGCCACCACGAGAAACCCTTGCAGAGGCATCACCCAAGGCTGATTCTGTAAGGTGATGCTGGTGCTTAATTCCCACATGGTCCAAAACTTTTTGTGCATCAGGAAGTGGGAGCTGAAGCTGCATCTTCTTGCTGGGCAGTGAGCAAGGCCAGAGGGGACGTGGTGGGACCTCTCCGCCTCCCCGGTTGCTGGTGCTGTTTGGTTAGTTGGGGGCTGGGGAATCCCCAAGCCCAGAGAGCAGATGCTTGTTGTTTGCTGGAGAAAGCAGGGGGGGAGTGAGAGCCCCAGAGATCAGAAACCAGGTCCTCCCTCCCCAAATGTTCCACCCAGCAGGAACATGTGGCACTGCCTCATCTCTTTGGTTGTCAAACCAACCCCAAATCACCCTGATAGGGACGGTGAAGGTGATAACACCTGCGGGATCGATCGTGCCAGGGAGCTGAGAAGGTGTGCGCTGGAGCTGACCCAGGGGAGCAAGATTTGATGTGCAAAAGCACGTTTGGATGAAGATTGAACAGACTGTTCCAGCGTCAGGCTATTTACCCCACCTTCAAAATAAACTGAAGTCCCTCTGTGCTTCTGGAGTGTCTTGAAATGGGACTTCATAGTTGGGTCAGCAAGATCCTCATAGATCTCTGTAGTCTGTTGCCTCAAGCCGAGCTGACCCAGGGGAGCAAGATTTGATGTGCAAAAGCACGTTTGGATGAAGATTGAACAGACTGTTCCAGCGTCAGGCTATTTACCCCACCTTCAAAATAAACTGAAGTCCCTCTGTGCTTCTGGAGTGTCTTGAAATGGGACTTCATAGTTGGGTCAGCAAGATCCTCATAGATCTCTGTAGTCTGTTGCCTCAAGCCCCCT